GGTCCCCTTGAGGGGTAAGGGCTAGACAACTACGGCAGAGCAATGCGTGACGTAACAAATAGACCTATACAGAGGGGAAATGTCATGAATTCTCGCAGTTGTCTTTCCGATACGTTCGAGTTACAAATGATTTTTCTCTCTCTCTCTCCATCTTCGGTATTTAAATGGAGTTGGTGCACAAATAACGATTCTATTTTTCTACACGCGTTTTTGTGGTAAAAATGTTCTCGTTTCTTCTTTGTTCACACATAATTGCGTTTGTTTTTTTCATTTCAGATTTTTACGTTGCCTTGTTAGTATTTTTATTTCACAGGTTAGATTTTTTCCAAGAATTTCTCTCTCTCTCTCTCCCTTGTTTGTTTTTCCCTCTTTCCATCTTCCTCTCCCCCCTCCCTTTCTACCTCAATAAAAGGTCATTTCTGCTCTTTATCCCTACATAGCTTGTTTTCCTGGTTCTTTGGGCCTGACTAGGTGTGTTTCAGACACAAAACAAAACTACAAAGGACAAAAACTCGCCTAAGGTCTATATAAGTACTTATATAGACCTTGCCCTCGCCTACTCTGTCCGGTCTCTGACGATCTGTGAGCGCGTGGCGGTTGGTCATATGTAAACAAAGGCTCAGCTGATCCGATAGGAAGTTGCCGATAAGGACTAATTTGCTTCGCCCAAATACACGGTTTTGTTGTTATGATTATTGATAGGAGTTTATTATGCTGTGGTTTCTCTAACAAATCCCTTACTATTTTATTCAGTTTATTCTCTCCTTCTCCCTCTCTCAGCTCCTCTTCATCTCCTCCTCCGTTTCCTTCCCCGCTGTCCGTCCGCTCCTAGACCATTGCATGATTATTATCTATGTCAATGCATATATTCCTTAATATACACGTCTCTTTCTTTCCATAATGTATGGGTTCGATTAAAAAGTGTGAAAAAATTGAATTAATTTCGTGTTACAATATTTGGCTTTTTTTTCGATTGCCAGCTCATGGTTGCTGGATTTCCTCTAGGTTAATCGCTATTTGTGTGCCAAATTAAATATAGTGTACATACCACGTATACAAGCAAATGTATATGTGTAGATAAATATAATAGATGTCTCTGTCTCTCTCTCAAAATGCATATATATAATATATATATATATATATATATATATATATATATATATATATATATATAAATGTGTATGTAGATATGATATGAATTATGATATATGTAATTCATACATTTTTTTTCTCTCCCTCTAGCCCTCCTCTCTCTCCCCCTCTCCCCCCTCTCTCTCTCGTTACGTCGTCGCTTTTCCAAATGTTTATCCATCTATCTATAACAGAAAGGAGCTTATTGAACTGCCTCAGAAGCGCTGGCTCATTTCTCGCCGTAAACTGGCGGTTGAAGTCAAACAAAGGCTCAGCTGATTCGATAGGAAGTTTGCCGATAAGGACTAATTTGCGATACCTTCGCGCCCAAATAAACGGTTTTGTTATGATTATTGATAGGAATGATTTTGGATTCTCTGACAAATGACTATATTCAGTGAATATAACAATTGTAATTAGTTAATCGCTATTTGTGTGCCAACTCATTAAATATAGCGTAATGTATATGTAGATAAATATAGATATATATATATTTTTCTGTCTCCCCCTCTCTCTCAAAATGCATTTTTTCTCTCTCCTTAATTTATTATTTGTGTATGTGTGTGTGTGTATATATATGTATATATATATATATATATATATATATATATATATATATATATATATATATCATTGTTATCAATGTACATTAATTTTCATCGTTATCATTGATTGAGCCGCCTTCTGAGTGTGATCCGGTCCGTCCGGCGATTGGGATCGGTGTGGAACGCCATTTCTGGCAAAGGATCGCCTCTGAACACGGTCGTGTTGTTGCTCCACTCGCTCGTGGCCATGTCGCTTATCCTGGTGGCGATCCTCATCCTTATTTATTTTCATATTATAATCATTTAAACTTTTACCATTTACTCTTTTTTCTAGGTTTCTGCGGCAGGCTGTTTTCCTTATTTTGTTTTTTGTTTTTCGACAGTTTGTCCTGCTCGGCGGCGGATTGTATCGGTGGAAATTGCAGAGGATCGAGTTTGAATGTCGGAGGATGGCTGCCCTATCCAGCGGGGGTAGAGGCATAGGCATCCTTCTTTACCTTCTCACGGTAGACTGCGCGAGGGACCCCGAGATGGTTCTTGTTCTTTTTCCCTGCGGCGGCATTTTACAGAATTTAATTGACCTCCTCGGCAAATTCCTTTACATTCTGTCCCTCGCCATTCACGAAGAGGCACTGTGATGCCCTTTCAATGTGGACCTCCACATTGTGCTTTTCACCGAGTTCCGACAGGCGACTCCCTCCCTTCCCTATTACTAAAGGGATGAGGTTGGGGTCGTAGGGGATGCGCAGGCCCTAACGGGCTTTAATTTGGGATAGTGTTTTTGACTAAATATCATTTACAGCTAAAATAAAAGCATTAATATCTATTTCTTTTCCTGTGACATAAAATCTTTATGGTCCTCCACTAACGTAAACATCGTAGTGAATACAGAAATTTCCGAACTATTAGTCGCTAAATCCTACAATGTCCCGTTGGTGTGTTGCTATTTATAAATGCCTTGTCACGCGTTGACGTTGACGCGGGCGTTTGTACTTCTCGCGCGCAACAACGCCGGCGATGAGTGCGGCGCGTGCGGAAATAAACGTATAGTAATATGCCTTGTTTAAACCGCATCTAGTATTACAGGGAGAGAGAACAGACAAGTCGAAGGTGGGTGATAACAAACAGTTTATCTGCTGAATGAAAATCCTCTTTCTTAGGCACCCTTGTTTGTTATAAATAATTCGCACTATTACCCACCTCTTTCGCAGAGGTGGGTGATAACAAACCGTTTATCTGCTGAATGAAAGTCCTTTCTGAGGCAAAGTACGTTAAAGCTTTATAGTAATGTTGTTAATTTCTTCTTTATACAACAAGGTTTTATGAAACTATTGACACTGTATGTAAGCAAGATTTGTCATACAGGAATGATTACATATTTTTACATAATAAAATTTGAGAAAATACGATTATGGAATGACTCGGATAAGGTTAATAATCATAAGCCTCTATCTAAATGCTCTTTTGAACAAAGGAGACTTCCGTAACCGATGTCGGAGGTACCATCTCAGAAAAAAAAACTGCAAGTCATCTCCTCCTATCATCGTGTATCTGTGTGTGGAAAGGAAGATGAATTGCGAGGAAAAAGAAGTAAAACTTGATGGAATTAGTTGGCAACCTATGCAGATTCGTTTCTGAGAAATGTTTCCGACAATTTTTCGCCTTTCTTTCCGACAAATTATATGGGTTATTAGTATTTTCAAATACTTATCAAGAAATATTACTGTCTTATGGTTTTATAAAATCCTTGCGTTTTCTTCACAAGGGACCTCCAAGCTCGATACTCGTATGATTACACGCATCTCCAAATACATATCAAGTCTTGGAGATACATATTCAGTGACGTGTGAAGTCATGTTATACCTACATTTATGATCAAAATCACTACCTTTTTCTTGACTATCGCGTATAGCCGAGGGGGTGGGGCCAGGATAGGATCCACCAACAAGGTATGGCATGTTTGATAGGGGAAACAGACTGCGTGAACTAGCGAAACGAACAGGTGTGTAGAAGGATGTGCTACGAGGACCAGCAAAGAGACGTGTCATTCTCCCTATCTAGAACATGGGGATTTACCTTGGTCAAATGACTGAAAAGTTCAATTTAAAGGTGAGATATTCATTAACCAAGCAATTCTTCACGAATGGAGTCGAGACGAGTACTTCTGTTTGTTTGTTTTTCGCCTAGTATGCTGGTGAGACCAATAGCTCGTGACGAGTCGCGGTATTCTCAGCCGTCTGTGTAAGGTCTTCCATCATCTGTATATTGGACAAAGCATCATCACTGTTTAGGAGGACATCTTTAAAGGAATAAGACATTAGTAGTATTAATGAACAAATTGACTTTTTGTATTATTATTACAGGAAAGACAAATGTATTAAATTGCACGAAACTTATTTTACTGATAATATACCTGTCTTCTGTTAAAGATGACAGCAATGCGAGAACGTTTTAATGGTTTTGCCCTATATTTTCATGACCTGAAAAACATATGCTCCACCCATATGTATATATACTTTCAGTCGTTCTTGTATTTGAGTAAAAAGTCACTTTTTTCTTTCTCTGAGTTATGTAAAAGGACGCTTTTCTCTCCCTTATTATGGTGCTATGCGACTTTTCTTTTCCAAACGAATGTTTTCTACTTGCCATTAATGGCAAAAGTACTAAAAATATTGCTTCGGTTGCCACTTTTTCTCTTTTGGTGTGTGATTTTAACCTTTCCTCTATAATTTACCTCCTTGACTCTATGTTGCTCGCCATATGCCCCTATACTGTCGTGTAAAAATCAGGAATGTCTAATGCAGTCGCATAGAAAGAAAAAGTAAGTGCCTTTGTTGCAAGTAATATGATGATTATGGAAAATATATAGTTACTGATGACTTGGTTTAAAAAAAGAAATGGATATTCGCATGCCAACTGCTAAGACCTATTGCATCGAGTGTCATGTACACTTTCTACTCCTTTGGAGTAAATTTATCCTTGATTGATAATCCCGGTTTTAGGCGAATTTATCTGTGTCCAATAGACGTAAAATTATAAAAGTTCTATGACAAAAGAGTTATTTTATCCTCAAACTGTATCATATCATATAAAAATCCTTTGCTTTGATAAAGAATCTGCTGCTAAAACGGCAAATAGTAATTTAACAATTAATTGGCCTTCTTCTTTTATACATTTTCTCTCTCTCTTTTATTTTGATGGTGAAAATGGTTTTTAGGGGCATTTAACGGTTTTCGTCGCTACGACAATTAGCGAGTAACTTGATGAAAATGTATGCATTACTTAAAAAATGGTGCATAAATGTGCGTAATACAGGTAAAATGA